AGGCCCGAAACGTCAGCCTTCCTGCTCCTCTGATGCTGCTTGACCTGCTGTGTTCATCCAGCTCTACACCTTGTTATCTCAGATTCTCCAGCATCTGCAGTTCCTGCTATCCCTGCCTGTGTCCTGTCTGGCCAGGTGAACCTGTTCTCAACTGCTTGTTGTTGGCTGCTGCAAACTTCAGGAAACTGATTGACATGCCCCTCTGCCAGCAGCTCTCATACCAGGTCTTGTGCCCAATCTCTAACATTCGGTGGAGGCCTGGTGAAATGGAGAGTGAGTGTTTGATATTCTACCTTCATCTGACCAGAACCCCCTGAATGCTGAGACCTCCCCCACCCCCACTCCTAACTCCCGTCTATACAGGCAGATAAATCCAGCAGATTCTGTCTCCTGTCAGAGAAAAATGAAAATAACATCCTGCTGAAGATCAAGTTCTGAGAAGAATCAGATTGCAGCCAGATAGCACCACTCACTCTTGCAGTCTGTATTCAGCCTGCTGTTGTTCTGGGACTCTCTGAAGAGCACAGTAATACCGCCATTCACCCTGTGTCCTCATATCTATGAATCCCTCCTGTCACCTTGCTCTCGGCTTCCCAGCCCTTCCAAAATAGGCTCCAGGTCACATTGCTCCTGCTGGGGAAACAGTTTACCGCCATCATTGCCCATGGATCAGACACTGAGTAGAACCACGAGGAAATTCCAGTGATTATTATTCCGTTTTCACCAACTCCCCTGCTCCAAAGATGATTCTCCCCAGTCCCAGTCATCATGGGATCAATCCATTTGACAATTCTTTGTCTTTAATGGTAGCTGCCCTTATCCAGAATAAACGTACAGTAAGCTAATAGGGCTCTAGTGGTGCAGCGGTAGTGTCCCTACCCCGATCCAGGAGGCCCAGGTTCAAGTCCCACCTACTCCTGAGGTGTGTAATAATAATTCTGCACAGGTTGGTTGGAAGTACAATAAGTTTAACATGTTGCAATTGTCATGCCCTTCCCAGTTCAATAAATTTATTGTACTGGAGGGTGTGCAAAGGAGATTCACCAGAATGTAACCGAGGTTGGAGCACTTCAGCTATGCAGAGAGGCTTGATAAGCTCAAGTTGTTTTCTTCAGAGTAGAGAAGGTTAAGGAGGTCCTGATCGAGGCATTTAAGACTGAGAGGGACATGGACAGGGTGAATAGAAAGCAGCTGTTCCCATTAGTCAAAAGGTCAATAACAAGGGGACATCATTTTAAAGTGAAAGGCAGGAGGTTTAGACGAAAATAGAGCTAAAACTTTTTCACCCAGAGGGTAGTGGGGGTTTGGAATGCACTGCCTGGGAGGGGAGTTGAGGTGGAAAACCTTACAATCTTGAAAAAGTGCTTGGATGAGCACTTGAAATGTATAGCATTTGTTATACGTATAACAATGAGCCTCGTGCAGGAAAGCAGGATTAGTGTCAGAAGTCATGTATTCTTGGCAGTACTGACTTGATGGGCCAAAAGGCCTCTTCTGTCCTGTATGGTTCTCTGATGTCTAGGTTTATGCTGAGAGTTTGCGGACACTGTCCGCAGTCAGCTAGCAGCTGTAAGCCGCAGGGGAACGATCACTAATGTTTATGAACAAACCGATTCTAATTTGGTTTGACCAGATGACTTGACCCAAACGCATGGTCATGAGTTTACCTGAGTCGTGTTCCCTCCTAATAGCAGCACAGAGTGAGGTTCCAGATTGAAGGCAAGTGACTTTCTGAAACTTCCATTGAAAGTTTAGTGTCAGTCAGAGAGTTCATTTCATGTTTAGTGATGTTGCTTTGGTACACAGAGAGGTTCCTGATTATAGTTATTCGTTCACAAACTGCTGGGCACAGTCACCCTGCTGAGTTTCCTGAGTCAGCTGAGATCCCTGGAAAGTAGATATTGGAAGGAATTGTCAGAATTTGACATTGAGCTGGTTATTGGCTTTGGCCCATGCTCAGCAGCTGTTTGAAGGTAAGGGGAAAGTCAGGTACAGGTTTGTGAGGCTGCGATGTCACTGCATCTTGACTGATCAGTAAAAGAGAGTGTTCTCCAAGAACGATACATAGCTGTAGGATTTATTCCTACGCTGTTTTCTGTCCGTGAGCCAATCCATGCTTAACCATACTATCACCAATTCTGAGTCCTAGATTTGGGTAATAATCTCTGTTCTGGCACTTTGTAATACATTTTAAACATGATACATCAGTGTTCTGTCTTAGCCATCATAATAATTATATCCTCTTAGAAACTCCAACAGTTTTGCCAAACATGATCTGACTTCATTGACTCTGTTTTTAACATGTATCATTTTCTAAGTGCTTACTGCGTTCCTATTTATAGCTTCTGTTTAGAGGGCTACTACAGTTTGGTTCAGCAATAATCCATAATTTCTCATTTTCACTCTTACTCCTTTCCTGAAGAAAAGGGTTTTGTTTGCTATTCTCTGTCCCCACTGGGATTGTCCTAGAATCCAGGGGATCACAGCCAATGCATTCACTATCTTTACGGCTAGCTCTGTTAAAACCTGTAATGTAGACCATCCGTTCCAGGGGATTAATTAACTTTTTAGATTAATTAAGTGCTCCAACATTATCTCCTCATTAACGCTTATTTGTTTAAGTTCCTCGTCCGTGTTAAATTTTTGGTTCTCTATTGTTCTGGGATTGTTTCTTTATTTTCCATTGTGAAAACAGATGAAAAATGTTGATTTAACATCCAGACCATTTTCTCATTTACAATAAACCTCTGTCTCCTCCCGTTGGTGAGACACATTTAATTTCTCTACATTCTTCCTACATCCTGATGGATTTTTTATAATCTGTGCTCATGTCACTTGCCAGTTTACTCTCCTATTTTTTTCTTTACCAATTCCTTAGTCCTCTCCTGCTGAAATCTAAAATGCTCCCAATCCTGAGTTTGCTACTGTTTTTGGAGCATTATAAACCTGTTCCTTTTGTTCAATACTAACTATAATTCTTCAGAATTAAATTGGATAAGTTCTTTTGCTTGATTTATGTTTATAAATCTTTGTTCCGAATCAAAAATTTAAAAGCTCTCCAAGGATGTTCGATTTACAGTACACTAAGTATTCACCAGTTAAACCTAGACGACTTCTATCATTTTGAACATGTTAAATTAAGAACTAGAGGAAATAATTCTCCTTTCAGATAAATTCCTGCTCCAACAGATTAGTCCAGTCTGCCACACAGCCTTCTCTAGCATTTAATTTTATTTATGATGAAGGAAAATGATTTCCAATTTGTCTCTAACTGAGGATAGTGTGAAGGGGAAAAGATATCATTAGTTTTGTGCTCAAATTGAGCTCAGAGGTAACCCGGCAGTAAACAAAAGGGAATTTGAATATTTAGTTGGAAGCACTGTCCAATTTGTCAGGACTCATTTTAATGATTGGAAAATTAAAAAGATTTTGCTGGATAAACCTTGATATTGGGCAACTCCCACATTGGAGTTACTTGTGTTTAGAAGATTTCAAACCTGATTTTAGACCAAAGTAAGGAAACGCTGAATAGTCATGTTTGCGCTTTGTAGGTAATGTTTGTCACAGCATTTTTTAATCTATCTATTCTTTCAGGGGATGTAGGCATTGCTTGTTAAGCCAGTGGTTGTGCCCATCCCTAATTGCCCTTGAGAAGGTAATGGCGAGCTGCCTTCTTGAACTGCTGTAGTCCATGTGCAGTAGTAGATCCAAAGAGGGAATGCTAGAATTTTGACCCGGTGACAATAACGGAGAGTGAAAATGAGAAACTATGGATTATTGGTTAACGAAAATGTAGCAGCCCTCTAAACAGAAGCTATTTCCAAGTCAGGATAATGCATGGCTTAGAAGGGAACGTGCAGCTGGTGGTATTCCCATATATCTGCTGCTCTTGTCCTTCTGGATAGAAATGGTCAGGTTTTGGAAGCTGCTATAAAAGAAGGCTTGGTGAATGCTGCTTTGCATCTTGTGAATGCTATGCATTGAGTATTGTTAGAACTGAACTCATCCAGGCAAATGCGGCATCTTCCATCACGCTCCTGATTGACATTGCATTCCGTACCAGCTGTTCAGCTGCATAGCCATGGAGTTGCTGGGAGATCCCACATGTGCGCCTCTGATTCCGCTCTGCTTTAAACATCCCACACACACAGAACCCAGAAGTCTGTGCAGGAAGAGAAACAATGAGGGGGAACATGGCTGCTGCCTTTTGCCTTTCAGATGGGGCTTCTGAAGTGCTGTTATAGCCATGTTATTGATATGGCTGTTTCTGTCATATACTGGCATGTTATAGTTACTTTCTGCTTTTTTGATGGCCAAGCAATCTTTTGTAGATGCCAATATGTTGCTGAATACACCACAAACTTTTATTTTTCCGTACTAACCTTTGATGTGGCAATTTATCAAATGCTTTCTGGAACTCTAACTATAGTACAACCGCCCATTTCCTATTATCCACACTACGTGTTACGTCCTCAAAGACTCCAATAGATTAGTCAAATATGATTTCCCTTTCACCAAACCATGTAGACTCTGCCTGATAACCTGATCTTAATCTAGGTGTCCGGTGTCTCTTTACAGTCAGTCCTTCAGTAATGCTCCTCTTTGCTTTGTGTAGGTAGACTCATATGATATGACAATGTCGAATGATATTGGCGAAATCCTGTTGGTGAAGATTGAGAAACGCAAATACTGGGTACAGGATGACTGGTACTGTAAATACATCACCATAAAAACTCCTTCTGGCGAATACATAGAGTTCCCATGTTACCGATGGATTACCGATGACAAGGAAATTGAACTACGGGATGGACGCGGTTAGTGCCAAAGCCTGAATCTGAACTTGGGCAGTGAGTGGGAGTAGGTGTGGCATGTTTAATGCTCTGTTTCTGTTGGATTAGCTGCTTGCAGGGAGTTACAGCTGGCCATTCTATCACTGGGCAAAAGTGAGGAGATGTCAGCTAGGCTACCTGCTTCTGATCCCATCTAGTGAGCACCCACCTAGCCATACCCCAACCCTAGCTGTGTAGTGCAGCTGTCAGGCTCTGCAGTGACGCCTTCATGTTTAAACATCCTACCATCAAGTTGTTGAATCACATACACGGGGCCAGAACACCATGAGCGATTGTGAGCAGTGCCTCTAGGCTGCAAGGATGGGGGAGTGGGTGGGAAATGATAATCAAATCACAGAAGCACTTTGCATTTGGGAAGACAGAGCCACTTAGTTGAGAAATCAACTGGTTGATAATGTCAGAAACAGGCCAGATTCTCAGCAGTGCCTAAAGTGTAGAAGCAGGCCATTCAGCCCATTGAGTCCACATCAACCCACCAAAGAGCATCGCACCCAGACCCACTGCCCCTACCTCTCCGTGTAACACTGCATTTCCCATGGCTAATCCATGGGCAGTTTGGCATGGCCAATCCACCTAACCTGCACATCTTTGGACTGTGGGAGGAAACTGGAGCACCCGGAGGAAACCCATGCAGACTCCACACAGACAGTCACCCAAGGGTGGAAGTGAACCCACATCACTAGCGCTGTGAGGCAGCAGTGCTAACCACTGAGCCACCATACCAACCCCCGAACTGCAAGGCAGAACTGTTAATCCAGAGATCCACATAATGTTCTGGGGACCTGGGTTCAAATACTGCCACAGCAGATTGTGGAGTTTGAATTCAGCAAAAAAAATCTGAAATTAAGAGTGTAACGATGACCATGAAACCTTTGTTGATTATTGGAAAAACCCATCTGGTTCACTAGTGTCCTTTAGGGAAGGAAACTGCCATCCTTACCTGGTCTGGTCTACATGTGACTCCAGACCCACAGCAATGTGGTTGACTCTTAACTGCCCTCTGGGCCATTAAGGGTGGGCAATAAATGCTGGCCTAGCCAGTGACACTCTCATCATGTGAATGAATTAAAAAAAACACATTGAAGTCCTCTCTAACCTTTCTAATGCAGCTGTTGGCTAGAACACCAGTCCCAGCACAGCTGAGGTAGGGATTGTCCATTGGTACACATCCCAGATTCCTGATGTACTCCAGATGTACTGGAGCCAGTGTCCCATGAACCGGAATCCCTTTCTCCCAATGCTGACTTTGAGCTGCATATTAATCTCCCCAATCTGATTTGCCCTATGCTAATTTTCAAGTGACTTAGATGTTGTTCTTGTTATTGGTACCAACATGGACCATGACAACCTGGAACCGGGCTGGTAACAGTTGTTCGCACTCATGTACTTTGCTGCAGAGAATAGTATCAATTTCTCAATGTATACTGTCCCCTAATCCTGCTACATTCCTTTTTGTACTCCCCAGTTGAATGGCTTCCCATTCATGGTACCACGCCAGTTAGCACATCCACCTGGCAGCCCCCACTCTCATCCAGACAAGCTGCAAGAATCTCAAACCTGTTGGACAATTAAAAATCTGAGGCTGCTGTGCTTCTGCCTGCTGGATACTATTACGTAAATACAAATAACTTTACCCCTCCCCCCCCCAATTTGATGCATTGCATATCTCTGTAATTCAGCCTCCAGCTCATAAACTGTGAGCCAAAGCTGTTGAAACTTCAAATATTTGACTGAGGCATATTTGCTCTGGCATCCAGCAGCTCCCACGTGCTGTGACACATCACCCGTTTCTCCCATGTTGCAAAGTGTTCTAATTAAGTGTAGTCACCGTGAGTGAAGGCTGGTTTAGTATGGAAGGGCAAAATGTGGCGGCGCAGATGTAGAGGGCCAAAGGGTCTATTCTTTGTTCTTAACTACTTCATTATTTTACTAAATTATACATTAACTGTGTTTTTGATATTTTATCAATCTTACTATTTCACTGGAGACCTTGTTAAAAACTCCATTTAAGGCTGAAAATGACAGCAAGCGTTCAGTTCACATTAAGAAAGAGACAGCACAGTTATAATTGTATGCATTTATTAGAAACATAGAAAATAGGTGCAGGAGTAGGCCATTCGGCCCTTCGAACCTGCGTGACCATTCAATATGATCATGTCTGATCGTGCAATCTCAGTATCCCCCTCCCGCTTTCTCTCCATACCCCTTGATCCCTTCAGCCACAAGGGCCATGTCCAGCTCCCTCTTGAATATATCTAATGAACTGGCTCCAACAGCTTCCTGTGGGAGAGAATTCCGCAGCTTCACAACTCTGAGTGAAGAAATTATTCTTCATCTCAGTCCTGAATGGCCTACCCCTTATTCTTAGACTGTGACCCCTAGTTCTGGACGTACCCAACATCAGGAACATTCTTCCTGCATCTAGCCTGTCCAGTCCCATCAGGATTTAATATGTTTCTGTGAGATTCCCCTTCATTCTTCTAAATTCCAGCAAATACAAGGCCAGTTGATCCAGTCTTTCCTCAGTCTGCCATTCTGGGAATCAGTCTGATGAACCTTCGCTGGACTCCCTCAATAGCAAGAATGTCTTCCTCAGACTAGGAGATCAAAACTGCGCACAATACTCAAGGTGTGGCCTCACTAAGGTCCTGCATAACTGCGGCAAGACATCCTTATTCCGATACTCAAACCCTCTCGCTATGAAGGCCAGCATGCCATTAGCTTTTCTCACTGCCTGCTGCACCCTCATGCCAACCTTCAGTGACTGTTCCACCGTGACACCCAGATCTAGTTCCATCTCGCCTTTTCCTAAACTGCCACCATTTAGATAATAATCTGCCTTCCTGTTTTTGTGACCAAAGTGGATAACTTCACATTTATCCACATTATTTTACATTTGCCAAGTATTTGCCCACTCAGCCAGTTTGCCCACGTCACCCTGCAGCCTCTTAGCATCCTCCTCACAGCACACATTGCCATCTAGCTCAGTGTCATTTGCAAATTTAGAGATATGAGATTGTATTCCTTTGTCCAATTCGTTAATGTATACTATGAGAAAAAGGAGTTGCCAGAGGATTGGATGGCAGAATCTGATATCTAGAATTAGAAAAGAATTGAGAAGAAATCAAAGGACTGTACGCCAATTAGCTTCATGATTGTGGTATGAAAGAGAATGGAATCTTTATTTAAAGATAACAATGGAAAATATTGAAATCCAAAAACAGAATAGAGAACTATCAGGATAGATTTCAAACCCTGAGCTGTTTTCATAGAATCCCTGCAGTGTGGAAGCAGGCCATTCAGCCCGGCGAGTCCACACTGACCCTCTGAAGAGCATCCCACCCAGATCCACCCCCCATGCTATCCCTGTAATCCTGTGGCTAACCTGCCTGCACACCATGGGGCAATTTAGCATGGCCAATCCACCTAGCCCACACAGTTTTGGATGGTAGGAGGAAACCAGAGCACCTGGAGGAAACCCACACAGACACAGGGAGATTGTGCAAACTCCACACAGACAGTCGCCCAAGTCTAGGATCAAACCCGGGTCCCTGGCACTGTGAGGCAGCAATGCTAACCACTGAGCTACCGTGCCGCCCCTGTTTCTTGACCAACCTTACTGAAGCCTTTGACAGTATAAAAGAGAGTAGACAAGTATATGTAAAATATTTTGATTTCTAAAAAGCTCTTTGTAAGGCATTGCATAATAAACCATTGACAAAAGTTCGCCACATCTTCATTTAGACCAAGTCTAAACCCGTGCTGTAGCCATCCTAGAAGTGTTTAATGTGGGACAGTGTCGAGGGAGCTTTACTCTATATCTAATGCGTGTTGTACCTGGCGTTGCAGTGTTTAATAGGAGGCAGTGTAAAAGAGCATTACCTTCAATTTAAAAGAGTAGTGGAAGCTTTACGCTGCATCTAACCTCACATTGCCCTACCCTGGGAGTATATGATGGGAACAGTGTCGAGGGAGCTTTACTCTGTATCTCAATTCATGCTGTCCCTGTCCAGGGAGTGTTTGATAGGGACAGTGCCTATATCTAACGCTGTGCCGTCCTTGTCCTGTGAGTATTTGATGGGGGACAATATAGAGGGAGCTTTATTCTGTGTCTAACCCCGTGCTGTCCCTGTCCTGGGACTGTTTGATGGAGACAGTGTCAAGGAAACTTTAAATTTTGTTTAAAAGAGTAGAGGCCACAACCTTCAGGTAACTGAACATAAAAAAATCACTACAACATTTTAAAAGGTGAAGAAAAGGAAAAACATAAATATTGGGTTAAAGAGATATACGGCACAGAAACAGACCCTTTGGTTCAACTGGTTCATGCTGACCAGATATCCTAAATTAATCTAGTCCCATTTGCCAGCATTTGGCCCATATCCCTCTAAACCCTTCTTATTCATGTTCCATCCAGATGCCTTTTAAATGTTGTAATTGTACCAGCCTCCACCACTTCCTCTGGCAGTTCATTCCATAAACGCACCACCATCAGTGTGAAAAAGTTGCCTCTTAGGTCCCTTTTATATCTTTCCCATCTCACCTTAAAACTGTGCCCTCTAGTTTTGGACTCCCCTACCCTGGGGAAAAGTCCTTGGCTATTGACCCTATCTGTGCCCCTCAAGATTTTATAAACCTCTATAAAGACGCTCCAGGGAAAATAGCCCCAGCCTATACAGCCTCTCCCTCTGGCTCAAACACTCCAACCCTGGCAACATCCTTGTAAATCTTTTCTGAACCCTTTCAATTTTTGCAACATCCTTCCTACAGCAGGAAGACCAGAATTGGACACAGTATTCCAAAAGTGGCCCTAACCAATGTCCTGTACAGTCACAATGTGATGTCCCAACTCCTATACTCAATGCACTAACCAATAAAGGCAATCATACCAAATGCCTTCTTCACTATCCTATCTACCTGTGACCACTTTCAATGAACTATGCATCTGCACTCCAAGGTCTCAACACTCCCCAGGACCTTACCATTAAGTGTATAAGTCCTGCCCTGACTTGCTTTTCCAAAATGTAGCACCTCACATCAAACATTAAAAAAAGAACAAAAGTTCCAGTTATTGTATTCCAGTATCTCTGCACTATTTTAGATCAAGTCTGTGCAATAAGCGCACCTTCCTGTCACTGTCCCGGAACAGACACTCTCTATAACCGTACGTGAACACTATTCCAGGACAGACATTCTCTATAACTCTGTGTGAACACTATCCTGGGACAGACACTCTCTGTAACGGTTTATGAGCACAGGACAGGCACTCTCTGTAACTCTGTGTGAAATGTCATTCTGCAGCTAGATTACCACGCGATGACCAGATTCAAATTGTCCGACAACACCGCCGCAGAGAACTCGAGGAGAGGCAGAAGATGTACAGGTAAATGATTATGTCCCTGGAATGAGAGCGGTTGCTTTTTTCTGAAGGTGATGAGACCAGTGTATGTGGAAGTGACTGAGACCTATCAGTATCTTCCTGCAGTCACTGGCAGAGTGATCTGGTATGGGGAGGGCTGAGTGTTGTAGGTTGTTGTGGTGTCCTGGGCTATTACTGGGTATGCAGTGAATGTGGGGATAAGGCGACACATCACCTTGTGTCTGAATGTAACATGAACTGCACTTGCCACCCATTGTTCCCACAGTGCATAATCCCAATATCACCAGCCCCTGTCCTTCCAGCCTTAACTCAGCTCAGAGCGTCTGTCTGAGGCTGGTGGCCTTTATTTGATTAGCTTCCTGCAGCTGACTTGGTCAATGTAAGTGAGGCTGGTCTCTCATACAGTGATGTCAGTGGCCCTTTAGCCCTGGACGAGAGACTGAACAAATCTTGACCGCCCCCCTCCCCACTTACTTTCCCCTACAGCTTCCCACATCCTTTGTTTCACAAAGTCTTCAGGAATCGTGCTGATTGATACTCACAGCTAGCAGCTGCAGATTGAGAGTTGGAGGGAAGTTAACCGCACTGCCTGTCACATTGTGAGATTCAGGGCTGCCCTGGCAATCATTTACTCAATGTAAACAGAAGTATCCTCTTCTTATTTGCTTGTGCCTTTGCCACAGCTCTGGAGCAGTCAAGTGAGCCTCCTGTAACTTTCAGTAGCGTTGTTTTTGATTTTCGATCATTTGTTCCCAGTTTATTGACTGCACGTGGGATGCAGTGTTTCACTTTGTAAATAAAGCCGTGCAAGTGTTTCATTATTAAACTCCAATTCCTTTTCCAAAGCTGCTATTAAATCTGTTTCTACCATCATTTTCAGGCAGAGGAGATTGTTCACTTTGTTTGCACGATCAATCTGAATTCCCTGTAATTTTGAGCATTCTGATTAAATCTCCCATTAACTCTGTAAGGAGAGTACCATGCAATGACTGCCACAAACATTACATAAGACAGACAGGAAGGAAACTAGCTATCAGAATACACCAACATCAGCTAGCAGCAAAACAGCATGACAAACTCTCCTTATAATCGGTACACTCAGACAATGAAGGCCATCAGTTTAACTGGGACAATGTACCTGTAGTAGCCCCAGCCAAACAGAAACACGCACGGGAATTCCTAGAGGCATGGTTCTCCACCTGTACTTCAATCAACAAACATATAGAATTGGACCCCATATACAAACCCATACGGATCAAAACTGGAAATGACGGTACTCATCATAACAGACCGGAGAGCAAAAATTCCAAGCGGAATAGAATAACGTTGCTTCATCGGAGGCCTCACTGATGATGTTCCTAGCATGGTGATGAAACGTCTGAACGAGAACAAGCCAGCTCGGCGAGAAGGTCTACAACCTCACCCATAACCCAAGCTACAGATCTTTGCCAAAACTTTAAGTGAGGAGAATACATCCAGCCACTCCATGGAACTGAATTCCTTCCTCCCTTCTACTATTCTAGTGAATCTCCTCTGCTTTCGCTCAAAGGGAAGTGCATGACCTGCAATTGGATACAATATTCCAGCTGCACCTACTCAATATTGTATAAAAATATTAGACATCACTTTTTGCTTCAGTGTTTCACACTTTATTTAAAACATAGAGAACGTTTTTTTTTAAAATGGTCCTATTTAATTTCGAGCTTGTGTCCTTCCCCAGAGCTGTCACCAATGATACTGCTGAGGCTGGCTGTTTTGTGTGTTGCAGGTGGAAGGAATGGCACCCAGGGTTCCCACTGAGTATTGATGCCAACTATCACAGTGAGCTCCCCCGTGACATCCAGTTTGACAGCGAGAAAGGAGTCGACTTTGTCCTGAACTACTCCAAAGCGTGAGTAAAGACTCTGTCCACTGACCCCAGCCCAGTCCGCATAGCCCCACTCCCCCCGGATGGTTCACTGGGCACAAGTGTTACCTGCCCAAGAGACCCAATGGCCTGAGCATCTATTTCTGGGCCAAACCCCGTGAGCTGACCTCTACTGGGACATTGGGCAAGGAACAGGGATCAGTCAAGATTCCAGTCCCTACAGATCCTACCTAGCAAGTGAGTATCAGACCAAAATACATTGTCCCCTGTCTGTCAGCACTGACTCTCAATCAATGAACAATGGCAACTTGGGAGGGGCAACTAAAAAACTCACAGCTCCACGCACACCCACCCTGCATCCCCCCAAACACACCCACCCACTGTCCCCACACACCCCCAAACACACC